AGCATAAGATACCGTTTTTGTCAACCTTAATGTGTATTTATTAGTTTACTTGTTTCTCTGGAGCATGGTTTATCGGCCGTACGCAACGACAAGTGCAAAAACGTAATCTGGAACATTGTCCAGCTTGGCTAACCGGAGGAGAAAGGAGGGAACCAGTAGCTACATCCTCGAACGTCTTGTCAGCTGTAAACATTGGGTACCCCCACATAACTGCTTCATAGTGCTACACAGTTCCTCGATATCGTACAAAAGGACTTTGAATATGCCATCTGTACATACCTGAATCATTGGCTAATTGGGATCTGAAACCGGACCTCTGAATTAAAAGGCACTACATACATTCACTTGCCCTCCCGTGGCCAGAGTAATGTTCTTGCTATAATTTTGTTTCTTTTCATTATGTAAGTTTACTATTTTCATTGAAATTATTACTTTATTATCATGCTTATTCTATTATCACTCTATTACTGTTTATTAATAACACTGCGTTTTCATACAGCTTTTATATAAAAACACTTTATCGTCTTTTCACTAGTTCCTGTTCAGTCTACACACTCATATTCACCAATCCTTTTCTCATACTTATTACGTCACGCCAGTTTCTGTCTCTTTTATAGCTTCCAAATAGTCACCCCTCCAAGTTACACCTTACAATACGTAACACGTTTTTCGATGGTAAATTTTACCAGTATCTGACTTGTCTTATAATATCTTTTTTAAATATAATTATGATTGTACAGCTTATGGAAATGAATAATCGAAAAGGAAATTTATGTCTTTTTCTTATGACTCAATGTGGGAATATTTTGTTCATTAATTCCCACTTATTTGCAACTGAAACATGATGAACAAACTGGAAGGTGTTCATCCCTTAGCTAGTTGTGGACATACCAGAAATAGAATATATTTTACTGAATTGTAGTCATGATGGATAAAATATGTATAGTTTCATGGATTGTATTTAAAAGCAAAGTGAAAGATTATTTGAACATGATTATCAACATCATGTTTAAGACAGGAGAATGGGGATGAAATTAGAATTCGAAATAGTTTGAGAAAAACCTCGACGTATAATTTCTTCTTGTAAAGGTAAGGTTCTTTTAACTTACCTCATGTAATAATTCACTGACTTTATTGACAGACCGGTCATTATGTTCATTCAGAATTTATTGATTCTTTCCCAGGCTAGAGAACGTTCATGGTTGAGTTCATGACACATGATTTTGTTTAACTCTACCAAAACTGTATAACGTTTAGTGCTACTTATCGAAACAGATCAACTTCTTACTGCTTGGGCTTCCTTGAGTTCCCTGGAATAGTGCTAAATTAGGGTTTTAAGACAGAAAAATGATTATGCCTTCATATTCTTCTTAAGATCTCCAGTTATAGGACAAGGAAACATAATGTAAAGAAACTAAATTCCTTTTTCAAGGAATGTTGAAAGCCAGAGGTAATTATGCAATAAAACATGGGCAATTGGATCGGGTCCTAGTGGCTTAAAGGTCTACGAGCTAGCTCACCTTGTAACCAGAAGGTCCTGGGTTCGAATCCCAGTGGGTGCGTACTGCTGAAGAGTCCCAAACTAGGACGAAACATCTGTTCAGTACTCCAGGTCTTCCAATGGTTCTCTAAATAATGTCAGCTCATGATGAAAATCCTGTAATCAATCAACCAAATCCCTACAAACCAACACTTGAAAACATATTTTATTCAACTCTGGAATAATATTCTTTTATCAAGACACGACGTAGATTTAGTATTTTAGGCATTAGGTCCCCTCTGGTATTTAGACATTTTAATGAAGTCTGGGCAGTCTTTTAAAAAAGTCACTGGTCATAAATCCTTCTGTCGGTTGTAATGTATGGTCGTAAAACTCCAAAGATTTGGGCAAAAAATCTCTAGGACAATATGTGAAGTTTTACTAGTGTTATTCGTTGCATACATTATTTCTGTTAGGTCACTGGGAAAATTGCTTACATCATACTTTACAGCCCTAGGGTCAAATAAATGAGTAATATTGATCAAACACAATCAGATGGGTTTTTATTGAGATATCTAATCACATAAATGAGATTGCATTCGAAAGTGGTTCAGACTAAAGGCTGTGATATCAACAATCATAACTGGTTTTTCAAGTTACAGCAAACTCAAGTTAAAATATTTAATTCTGGCGTAACTTTGATTCTGTTTTATACTATGAGCGTCTAAATAGCAACACTAGTACCTTAAAGGTTGTTTCTGGGTGACATACTGTCGTCGAAAGACAACCACTTGTACTAGGAATGTTTAATTCATATTGGATAAATTTGCTGACTAATATATGAACGAAAACAGAAATTTTTGTTACGATAGTGAATTAAAGATAGGCTAGTGTGCTTATTTTGTCTTTTACATTTTCGCTTCTGATGTCCTATCACTGAAATCACTCCCTTTAACGTAATTTTAAGTGTTTACGAAGGAAATGTTTAATTGTATAACATATATGTTTATCTCTTCAAGTTTAAATTATAGGCGGTAAGACAAATAATTCTGTTGCTTTGTTGCAAAAAATCATAAATGCACAGCACAATCATTCATGAATATTAGGTAAATCAAGAAGATTAAATAATGTTTACAATTAAGAACTATACGACCTAGTCAAAATCGTAAAAAATATTGTAAGAAGAATTTTATCGTGTCTCACTATCTTTCAAAATGGGTACTGCCATCCAGTAAATTATACTTAAACATATTTTCTTACAGTCTATATAGAAACGTTCTTTTTATTTCACAAGAACTTTGGAATATCTAGATTGAAGGTGGATCTCTTTTGAGTCACTCAGTGATTATTTTGCACAAGAAATTGATTCTAGATTGAATAGAAACTAGAAAAATCTTCATAATGGTTTCATTCTAGGAATATACCAAGAATATTAGACTCTGTGAGGAGTAAATTATCCAGTCGATTCGGTGTAGAAAAGTGTAACAAAATAAGACTAGAACAACGCAGTCACAATAACCGTTGCAGAATAGGTTTATTTCTTTATAGGACTGTCATCAGCTGCATACAACCTGAATAATAAACTATATAAGCAATCAGTATGACATAATGTAAATGTACTTTTAAGTGAATATCCAGTTAAAGTGAGAGAGTCAGTACTTACGACACATAATTCAGATTTCGCCATTCGGGTGGTCACAGCTTCAGCATCTCCAAGTAGTTGTAAACTGATTTGTCTGTAGACGCTAGAATATTATGTTGTGTTGACCTGGTGTCCTGTAACAAGGAGGCGGTGAACTATAGTGTTATTAAAAATTTGTCAATCTAAAATAAGAATTTCATCCAAATGACTACTGTGTTCACTTCGATTTCTCTCTCTCTCTCTCCATATGGTCTGTTTGTTGTGACCCATGACTTTATTCATATATCACGGCAATCACAACCTGTCTATGATATGTATCCATATATATATATATATATTTATGTGTGTGTGTATGTTGGTCTCTCTTTCTGTTTGCTCGCTTAGTCTGTGACCATTTCACTTGTATGAACTTGTCTCCTTTATCAATGTATATTCTCCTTATTTTATATATAATATTATATGAGTGTTTGTTGACAGTCCGTTGCTTGGTGACATATATCCATATTATGTGTGGTTGTTGACATGTCTGTTATATTTCGCTATGTATATATGGATCGATACTTCATTATAATTAGCCATTCATGTTAAGACTGTCTAATGATTGTTCACACCCTTGTCATATATATTTCGCTCACACAATTTGTGTGAACTACTTTACTTACTCACCACTTTGGTGTGATACCACTTTTGCATTCTCCTTGTGTTTGGAAAATAGAAGTATCATCGCAAACCTAGTGGTCTTCTGATTTCCGCCTTCTTGCGTCAGGACTATTTAATTCTCGACCAGTCCATAACAATAATTTAGCGACAAGTACATAACAGTCTACTTTCCTGTTACATTCTTATTCTATGCAAAAGTACTGTGTCTGCTAGTCAGCTGTTTATTCATCAAATTTACGTAATTTCTTTTCACATTTATATGTATTTCAGTAGTTTTAGACAGTGATGTGAAACTTATGTGTGAATGATTTCCGAACCTTTATAAAGAAAAAAACTATTTTCAGTGTAGTCGATAACATATAACTCAGTATGTAAACAGCATAACATGTTTCTTTATCACTAAGTCTGCATAGATATTTTCAGACGTGAACCGAATTACTAAGTTGCATTTGTATTCTTCTGCCTTAATCAGACTTCTACAAGAGCCTTGTAAAGGAATCTGTAAATACACAATAATTTTCGTCATTTCTTTTCTACTGTCAGTAGGGGTTCCAACTGAGTGAACCTCTTTCGGTTATAAATTTAACTATAATTTCAAAAAACATTGATATTATTTAACACTAAGCACATACTTCTTATGGAAGCCTTTTATTTCCCCATTTATACGTAAAGAAAAAAAAATACTTCCACTTGTTAATTAATCGAAATCTGCACACGATTTTGTAAGAGAAGGGGGAAGAGGAGTGAAAACATATCTTATGGTTTTTCGTGATTCGGTTTTGACTGCAAACTCGAAATTTCAGGTGATATTTAAGATATTAAATATTTTAATATAGCAAAAATATTCATTCAGATATCTATAAAACACAACATAATCGAGCAAAGAATATTCTTTTCGATAAATTCCTCTTCTGGCTGTACAATTATATATATGTTTATATACATTATATGCATTGATCTTGCTTTACAAATCGATATTATTTAAAAAACACTAATATTGTTATTAACTACCAACCTTGAATATTCTGTGTATATAAACATGTATATAATTGTAAAGCCAGAAGAGGAATTTATCGAAAAGAATATTCTTTGCTCGATTATGTTGTGTTTTATAAATATTTGATATATTTTATTTTAAAAACTATTTCTCCATTTTATGCATAGTCTCTTTCTAACCGACTTTCTGTGCTCCTTTTTTCTTGTATTCCAATAATTAAGATTCAGTGCTTGCATCAAGTTATGAAGAAATTCTGACAGATTATTTAATCAGTCAGCCTAATTTATGGCTACAACCGAATCCGTATCCTAATAGCTGTCAGAATCCATTATCAGTCAACCTAACGTATAATGTTATACAAGTAGTGAAACTTGTAAGTCATTCTGTGTTCTTTTGCATTAATGACAGTATCCGGTTATCATTGAAGCTGCAATAAACATTGATGAGAATTTACTGAAAGTTAATTTGTAAACTTTTCTTTTGAACTTAGTTTTTCTCTAAATCAAAGTTCAAATTGTCTTTCTCACCATAAGTCCGGTTTGTATAACCGAAGTAAAAATAAAAATAAATAGTTAATCAACTGACTTTAGAAAGAGTCAGACGAGTAATTAAGCAACACAAGCTTTTTCAGCACATTACTGCTGCGTCGGTGACACGGTGATTAGGACTCTCGCCGACCATGCACATACTCCGAGGTTCGGTCCCCTGCTGACGCACAACTGATATCTATGGTCGACCTGCGAAATTTGGGCTACCAATATCACATGCTGAAAATTCCATACTTGTACCAAAAATACAGTGTGGAATCAAGCTGTAATAAAAAAAATAAATAAAATAAAAAAATAAGAGAGTTAAGCAACAGATTCTTTTGGATTGTGGCAATGAAATTAGGTTGGCAGAATATCTAAGTGAAATAATGCAGTAATGTTTGTTTCCTTGGGCTAAATGGTTTTAAGAAGTTTTTCAAAATTATTTTAAAATAAATAGCCAAGAGGAGGCAAAAGAAAAATCCAGGTGTTTTGTTAAAGCCTACTAGAAAGATTATCTCATCTCGCCGAAGACATTGGCTAGGGGTCGCGCTATGTCGTGAATTGGCAGAAGTTAGAATTCATGGGTCATTGGATCGGGTCCCAGTGGCCTAATGGTCTACGAGCTAGCTTGCCTTGTAACCAGAAGTTCCTGGGTTCGAATCCTGGCAGTGGGTGAGTACAGCCGATGATTCCCAAAACTAGGATGAAACAATAGCTGTCCAGTACTCCCAGGTTTTCCCAATGTTTCTCTAACTAATGTCAGCTCATGATGAAATCCTTATGTCATCTATCTTTGATGCATCCGACCTACAGTAGTAGAAGTGAAATATTTTTATAGAACTAGGACAGTAAACTATTTCTAAGTTTTACTTATCTACAACAATAGTAAAGACTGAAGATATCAGCTACGAACTGGTGGAATGAGAATGAATGAAAGTAGTGTAACAAAGAAAACAATGAGTAAATAGTGACACGGATTATTCTGTCGTTGTAATCCACTCTCAGTCATACCATCGAAAGTTCTTAGTCATTGGTTAGTAACATCCTATGGGCCTCAGTCATGTAGTTTAGACTTCGTTATATAACTCAAAAGTTTGTTTGTAGTTTGTTAGTTCATGAAATGCTTGTACCACATTCTGTATATCATTGACTTTTCTAGCATTTTTCATTGGGGTGAACTTTGTACCTAACATATGCCTTAACTAGCCCCTTGTATCTAGACTATCGGAAATATCAAATGATTTGTTTTCCATCCTTAGAATTCTGTTTTATTTTAACGTAGCTAAAGTATATTTAATTGAATTTGAGATTTTTCCGTCGACTGACTGGACCGAAGTGCTCGGTCTGAGGTTGAAATATCGGCTTCTTGTGCAGATGCTTCGACGATGTCTGGGCATTTAGTTAGTATTTAATTATTTATTTTATTTTTTTTATTTTTGATTACAGCTTGATTCCACACTGTATTTTTGGTACAAGTATGGAATTTTCAGCATGTGATATTGGTAGCCCAAATTTCGCAGGTCGACCATAGATATCAGTTGTGCGTCAGCAGGGGATCGAACCTCGGAGTATGTGCATGGTCGGCGAGAGTCCTAACCACTGTGCCACCGACGCATGGTGACTAGCAGTGGACGAGTCCCAAATAGGACGAAATGCACATCCTGGATTCCACTGCTAGTCACCATCCACCAGTTAAATACTTACTAAAGTATAGTTTAACCACATTAGATTATGACTGAAAATTCTTAACCTACCTAAATACTCGGCTAACGTCGTCTAGCAATCATAAAACGGTGTAAGACAGACAACAATGTGTCCTTTAGTTACCAGTCCAATGTATTTCCATTATCACAAACAGTAAAAGCTGAATACAGGCATCCTCGAGCCAGTGCATATTTGAATCTTGTTTAGGTAATCTAAAAACAACAGCTCTTCTGTTTAATTCAGTAATTATATTTTTAACGGATGTAGCTTATATGAAACATCCAAGATATATATATATATATATATATATATATATATATATATATATATATATAAGCACAATATGCTTACTAGGCATAGGTATCTGTATGAAAGTTAGCAGAAAGTAAAGGCTTATGCCTGAAATTGTTAAAATCCCAAAATCCTACATGAAAAGAGGAAGTTAATATTATGTGGGATTCTTTTCACAAACCGATTTACTTGAAGTTAGTAGTAAACATATTCTAAACAGATAAAACTGGTTAGATCAAATATTAAAGTGATCCTCTTATCAGTGAATTCTATTCTCAAACGAGAATGTTTATCTGTCCTGGTTCTCATGTGCATGTGTGTAGCACATGTTTGTTGAATTAAATTAGCCCCTTTACACTACAAACATTTCAGATAAATGACGTCATTTTACTGTCCTGTCAAAATTAATAAGGTAGGAAAAAATAAACTAAAGTGCTTTATGATTTTCATAGCTATTTAATCCTCTGAAGGTTCAAATTAGCAATTGTTTTAGATGACAAAGTATTTTTAGATATTTTGAAGATCATAAGGTTGTTAACCTTAAGAGGCGACAAAGATAAAGTAATAATAACATCATTAAAGCTTTATTTCAAACATTATATGAACATATTTCAAAGGAATTTTCAGCGTATTTAGTTCCAGAATATTTCCTCTTTATGCTGAATTTATGTGTGAAACATTAGTCTAAAGTATATCATTTATCGGTAACAGTAAAGAACAGACACCAAAGTCAAATGACCTTGAATCTACCAATTACATTCCTCCAGATGAAAAGTGGCATTTACCTTTTAAACAACGTGTATAAGACATTTTTGTCGTGAAACTGAATTACACAGTGTATATATCTCTAAGATGCGGTAAAAATTGGTCCCTATTTCTCATAGGAGTGTCTGTAGACATATCAAACCAATGTCGATACAAAAAATCTAAGCGGCTGTATATCAGATCATATCTACTATCAAAATCGATTTTTTAGATGCACCCAGAATCCTTCAATAGAATTCGTATAAGTTCCACTTATAGGATTTACTAATTCAGAAGTATGGTTGACTTTACAATGAACATAGACTAATGATGATGGTTGCGAATAACCTTTCCACTCGAATATGCGAATAGCCGTTCCCAGTGAAACTTGCAACGGAAATTATGGACAACATCCATGTGTAACATCAAGCCATTTTATTGGTTGATTCAAGGCCACTTGACCTTGATGTCTATTCTTTACTATTGCCTATTCGTCGTGGTGTTGTTGCATATGAAGAGGAAATCAATTTTGTAAACTTTTTCTTCAGCCGCTTCAAGAATTGCGTAGCATATATTGGGAAACTAATTAAATATACGTGGGAGTTCATGTTGTGCTCATCAGATATCACTGTATGATTAAAACAATACGAAGTGCAGAAGGGTTTCAGCATTTTGATGGATGAATATTCTGGTAACCCAGTGGCTTAAGCACACCGCCGGTAGAAGCAATTTAATGATAGACTAATGAGTTCCGCATGCTACATTTTTGAGGTATGCACACAGTTTTGTTTTCATCCTAATGCTTTCTTTAACGATGAAATACTTTCATCTCATCAATATTCTTTTGATAAATGAGTGCACAGCAGCCATCAACGCCGACAACTCTTGCAAACTTCACTCTTACTTCAATGTGAAGCTGATTGGCCGCAATAATAATAATGTTTGGTGAATATAGTTATCTTGGTGGCCAGCATTCAGTAGATGTAAAGTCTTCATAAAACCCTTCACTTATTTTCTACCGCATAACTATTAGAACCTAGTGAAATAACCAGTCAGAATCGATGAAAACGCACCAGTTTAAATCGTCCTTTTTTAATTGCTCTCAGTATCTGTAGTCATTATCAGCAGTATCCGTAAGATTTCGCCCTAATTGTTCGCTTGTTTTTTGTGTCTTATTCACAGTCTCATTCAGATGAAACTCTCATAATTTCTGGATGGTTTACAATAGTAAGTTGGCACTATATCTATATATTCTCTCCTGTTGTTTTATGCAATTTTGTTGAACATCAATAATTTATTATTATTGTATCCTTTAGTTCATAGAGGAACATAGGGCTTCAGCCACGCGTCTCCATTGCCTTCGGTTTTCTGACAACTTTTTCACCCCACTCCAAGTCTGCCCACACGCTTTCATTTCCTCTTCACATGACCTCCTCCAAGTCACCCTTGCACTGACGACCAACTCGCCGCCCGCTTCCCTTTCGGGTTCCACTCGAGCAGTGGCTTGTTTAGTGATGTCACTTGATGGTTTCCTCAGAGTATGGCCACAATCCATCTCCATTTCTTCCTGCGTATTTGTTTCACAATCGGTTCCTGCTGAGTTGGTTTGCTCATTGCCAGAGATCCCTCCCTGTCGCTGATCTTCCCAGGTCGGCCATCTGATCTTGAGTGGTATTGAGCGAAGACAACTGTTAATGAAGGTCTGTAGTTTGTTTGAGATGCTCTTTATGACGCGCTGGCCAAGTCTCTGATCCGTTTAGCATGTAGCACTGACTTCACATTGGAGTTGAAAATCCGGATCTTATTTTTGATGCTCATTTCAATTATATGGTTTATCACAACTATCACACTGAAATTATTTTGGTTGATCATCATTCCACCTAAACTGTACCAATTTCATAATATCTTTAATCTGATTGAATATACTATCAATGTGCCTCTCTTCTGCTTAATGAAAGTCAGTAGAATCCTGGTGCAAGATTCTTCTGTTCTTATTTTTCAGTTTTAAACGAATTTCTTTCTTGCAATTGATCTGAATAAAACGGTGGAAAGAGTACACCATTGATAAATAACAAAGATAAATTTATTTTAAATATTTTCATCTAGTTGGTGTGTTGAATTCTATATAGTTCAGTTGAAATTCTCATGTATCTTATCAAGCTGATTGCCCACATGATTCTTTCTGTAATTTGAGACATATGAGGATATTCATGCGTAAGCATCAGTGTACAGTCTGATATATACTATACTATTGTTCTTGCTGCAAGACTTCAAAATATTGTACACAAAAAGATTATGTAGGTAGATAAATGTTCAAAAAACACTAACATTGGGACCGTTGAGCAAATGCTTTTATTTAGGTCAAGTATAATTTAAGACGTATTTCTTTACAGTCTCTTTAAATTCAGAAGCACATCACTAGTTGCAGCCATAATCAAGAATTTTAAACAGTTAGTAGTTTAGCTTCAGGTTTCCTCATTCACTATAATCAAAGACTTCTCGAAACGATTATTTTAAGTGAATTTTTGCAAATCCACTGGTTTTTAGAGACTTCTTGTGTTGATTCGCTAAATTTGTGAACGAGAAAAACTGTCGTGCTTGCATAGACGGCTCATGGGAACTGAACATTTTTTGGTATGAACTCTTCAGAGATTGACTGTAGAAATGTACAAAATGTTTATTCAGTACGTCCTAACTTTCAGTGATTATATTATTTATAACTTTTCCAAAAGACTTCTAAGGCGACCGCCACCCACCACGCACCCAGCAATGCCAACAACGGAAGCAGAACTACCAGTGAACATCGAACCCCCAACGAAATCAGAAGTCCTGAATGCAATCAAGATGCTAAAACCTGGAAAAGCAGCACGACCAGATGGATTCCCCGCAGAAGCATTGAAAATGGACCCAGAGACAACAACGGACTTGATGAGGCCACTGCTGGCGAAGGTGTGAAAGGAGGGAAAAGTACCCGAGGATTAAAAGATAGGATACTTATTCAAACTACCAGAGAAAGGAGACTTAGGTCAATGCAAAAACTGGCGCAGAATTATGCTCCTGTCCATCCCAAGAAAAATACTGAGCCGTGTCATCCTGGAGAGAACCAAAAAACACCCTGGATGAAAAACTTACACCGGAACAAGCTGGATTCAGGAGAAACAAGTCATGTATTGATCAAATCGCCACTCTACGGATCATCATCGAACAAAGCTTGGAACGGCAGTCACCTCTCCACCTCACTCAACTTCATCGACTTTGAAAAGGCCTTCGATAGTGCAGCGTCGATCGAGAGGTGATTTGGAAACTACGTCGCTACTACCAAGGGGTCCCATCGACAATTATACATCTCATCCAACAGTTATACGACAATTCTGCATGCCAAGTAATCCACAACGGGAAACTTACGGAAGTCTTCGAAGTGAGGACGGGAGTGAGGCAAGGCTGCCTACTATCGCCAATGATCTTCCTGATTGCGGTAGATTGGATAATGCGACAGACAACGGGAAATGAGGAAACAGGCATAAAATGGACTCACACAGAAAGAGACTTGGAGGATTTGGATTTCGCCCTTGATGACATATATATGTCTGATTTCCCACAAACTGGAAGATATGCAAGTGAAAAGCACAAACAAGCTGGCAGAAGAAGCATCCAGAGAAGATTGGACTTCAGGTGAACATAAATAAAACAGAGGTGATGAAGATTCCTGGCCAACACCAACAACAGACAACAATCAGCCAGCATAAATGGGAGGAACCTGAAAGAAACAACCTCCTTTACCTACCCACCTACCGATCTGGGAAGCATCGTTTCAACTACAGGCGGACGACACTAACGAGGATATCAAAGCCAGGAACATCGGAAAAACAAGACAAGCTTTCATTACTCTCACCAATTCTGTGTGGAGGTCAACAGCATTCACCATCAAAAATAAGATCCGGATTTTCAACTCCAATGTGAAGTCAGTGCTACATGCTAAACGGATCAGAGACTTCACCAGCGCGTCATAGAGAGCATCTCAAACAAACTACAGACCTTCATTAACAGTTGTCTTCGCTCAATACCACTCAAGATCAGATGGCCGACCTGGAAAGATCAGCGACAGGGAGGGATCTCTGGCAATGAGCGAACCAACTCAGCAGGAACCGATTGTGAAACAAATACGCAGGAAGAAATGGAGATGGATTGGCTGGCCATACTCTGAGGAAACCATCAAGTGACATCACTAAACAAGCCACTGCTCGAGTGGAACCGAAAGGGAAGCGGGCGGCGAGTTGATCGTCCAAGGGTGACTTGGAGGAGGTCATGTGAAGAGGAAATGAAAGCGTGTGGGCAGACTTGGGGTGGGGTGAAAATGTTGACAGAGAACTGAAGGCAATGGAGACGCGTGGCTGAAGCCCTATTTTCCTCTATGAATTAAAGGGTATAATAATAATAATTGATAAAGTTTCCAACCTTAATTGTATGGCAACTGTGCAAATATATTATATCTCATTAGAAAGACATATTCTTATGATACTTATTAACGTAGCAGTTAAAGACACAGTGTCATAACTAACAATAATATATGGAAAAAAACAACATAACTGACGTGTTTCGCCGGTTAGTGCCGTGAACATGTGGAATGAATAGTAAGACATTCACTGAAGTAACATGTTTGCTAAAAACAGTTAGATAGTTTACTGAAGTTTCAAAATTCTGCAGTAAGAATTAATATATCAGTTAATAAATGGAAACAATTTGTAAAATATCACTTATTGTATCATTGAGTGAATACCTATGTGCTTACTTGGACTCTTCATCAATCTGTTAGTGGTTCTGCGTGGTATCATCGGTAAAGTGAAGGACATGATAGTTGCTCAGTGTTTTTGATTTTTAATAATTCTTTGAATGCTTTTGATTTGTGATGAAAGCTGTCTGAAAACTTTACTTACAGTCTGATGAGTCATAGTAACTATTAACTAAACTTTGTCCATTCTGAAGGTTTTCAACATAGTTTTTTAAATTTGTTTCTTGTCCTTTGAAGATCTCAAAGGGACAATATTTTCAAACGTACACAATAATTCGTACCTTTTTGCTTATTAATAAACGAAAGTTAAATAAAGCCGTTGGTTCCTATGACCCTTGCGAAACTGATGACACTGATATAGAAATCAAGTCTGAAGTCAAGTATCTTGGATTAATTCTTTCTTCTGACCTATCCTGGTCTTCCCATGTCTAAGTGATTTCTAAAAGAATATTTCGTCTGACTTTTTACATTAAGAAGTTAAGGCACTCAGGCGTAACCCAACCACTCACTACTCTTACAGTTTGTCAACTCGCGTATTTTACCTATTCTTCTTTACTGTTCACCCTAATTCTTTCCTGGATTGCTTAAAAATGACTATGTCATACTTCGCAGAATTCTGAAGACTGTCAGTGGGATGAATGGTATCCCATTAGGTCATATCGTTGACATTGTCACGGATAGGCACTTGATGTTATGTGACAAATTTGCTAAAGGAATTTTGTCAGACTGTGAGCACCCACTCTACTCGCAGCTCCAGCCTTGTGTCTCCTCAGGTAAAACAAGAAGTCTTTTCAGAAGACTTTATGCACGTATGTCTAAGTATAAAAATTCCACCATACCATATTTGGCACGTACTTTATCTGATGAAAATAGTGTCAGGCATGAACTAACTAACCTTCTTTGCACTACTAAATAAACCATTTCCTCCACCCTTACAACATCAAACTTTATTGTTATTGTATTTCTTATTTACAAACCTCTCAATTTTTTGTTTTTATTTATTTATTTATTTTTCATAAGTGTGAACATAAATTAAGCTGTGCTAATAACTGCTAATTTTGTATTTCCCCTCACTATACTATATCAAGAGAACATTAGATTCAATACTCTATAGTAACATGCTATATTTCCAAACTGAATCGACAGTACTGTTTGAAACAAACTCACTGTTATTATTATTATATTTAATGATCTCAATTCGTGCTTCGTATATTTTGGAATTTATATCGTAAACGTTGACAAATTCCTCTGATTACTTTTGTTTTAATTTTTAATTTTATTTATATTTTAAGTAAATCAGATGCAATATTGTGACAGATGCCGAGTATTCCATTCTGTACTATAAGTGTAACAACAGAAGACAAGGGCCAGGCAACAGATCGTTTTATTATGAAAATCAACACGTATTTATACATATTTCACATACATTATTATAGCT